CTGAAGTCAGCCGCTCAACCGACTGAGCCACCCAGGCGCCCCTACCCCGCATTCTTAAAAGGGTTTGGGTTTGTGATGGCCAGAAGCTAAACTTGACTAATGAGATTTAAGGAATGTGACATAATTGTTAATGTAGACCATGTAATTTATTTTTACTTTAAAGCAAGATGGAAAGTTGCCTTTCGTTCCTCTGGAGGAAGAATTTATTATGGGAGTTTCCAAGTATGGTATAAAAGTGTCAACATCAGATCAGTATGTAAGTAATATTTCTTAGAGAATCTGGGAGGCAGGCTGGGAAGGGGCTACTTGTAGTTTTCTCTGCTGTTTGTGGAATTGTTGGTTGGTAAATGTTCCTGGCAGCTGGTCTTAAAAAAATGACTGATTTCTGAGAGGTAACGGAGACCCCCTTTTGCTCCTCCTGTATGGTAGGGCCCCACCAGCACCCCACACTGCTGGCCCCTAATGCGTTTTTAACTTAGGATCTCATGCCAGCTCAGGGCAGATGTCAGCTTGGAAGCTTGGCATAGAGAAGAGGCTCATGAACTCAGATCTTATTCCTGTCTTTCTGGAATTTTAAGTAGGAAGGGATAACCCTGAAGGCAAACTGCCCCATTAACTGAACATTACATTCTGGAATGTCCGTTTGGGTGAAAAGCCTATATAACTGTTTTCTGCCAGATCCATAGCCATGCTGTCTGTGTAAAGCCTCACGATTCTGCACGGAAAATTAAGTACGTAAAACATCCGTAACACAGTCACCATCTTGCCTTCTCCTGACTTCCGTAGGATGTCCTGCATCGGCACGCTCTGTATTTAATCATCCGGATGGTGTGTTACGATGATGGTCTGGGGGCAGGAAGAAGCTTGCTGGCTCTGAAGACCACAGATGCCAGCAATGAGGAATACAGCCTCTGGGTTTATCAGTGCCACAGCCTGGTGAGGTTCAAGTTGGCTTGCTTAGTCTCTCATTCATCAGACGAGACGGTGAAACCACAGCATGCTTACGGTCTTCTCAGAGGCCGAAGAGATGCCACCCACCGTGCCTGACACCTGGCGTAGTGTGGGTGACTGGCCCCAGGTCAGCCAGCTGGCCAGACCTGCCACGGGCGGGCAGTTGTCCGGCGGGGATCTCGAGGTCGGGGCTGTCACAAGGTCGGTGGGCAAAGCGGTGCGCCCTCCTGAGCAGAAGCCCCTCCTGTTCTGTCCCTGTTGTCTTCCGGACTCATCAAGGTCCCTCCCAAAGGCCAGCTTCAAGTTACCACGCATGCTTCTCTAAAGGCACGCAGGAAGGGGGCACATGACACGTGCAGGTTTAGGAGAGGTGTTAAGAGGGTCCCATGTGTACCTCTGCTGGTCAAATGAAATTCAGGAAGAGATGGACAGAGTCTCTTACTCTATCTTTTTCACTTAATATAGGAGCAAGCACAAGCCATCTGCAAAGTTTTATCCACCGCTTTTGACTCCGTATTAACATCTGAGAAATCCTGAATTCTGCAATCAAGTGGAAGCTGACTTCGTGTGGGAGTTCGGTGGTTTTCAGTCTGCAGGGTTGAGCTATTATGGGAGTAGGAAGTGGTGAAAGCGAAGAAATGCGGTGTGTAACATACTGATCATTTGCTTTTCTATTAAAATGTGTCTTATTACGGTGAGTTAACTCTCAACGAGGTTGTCCGCTTTCTGCGACTAAAAAAGTAACCTCCCCTCTCGCTTTTAAAACAAATGAGCTTAACACCTAAGCGTCACAGAAGTGCCCTCAGTGAGTGGCGAGCACGGAGCGCTTTCCACGAGGTCACGTACTGTCCCCGGGGCGGCACGTGGGCCCCCCACTGGCTGGGAGCGCCGGTCACCTGGTCTGGAACAGCGATGCAGCGCTGCCAGCTCACGACACAAAAAGTAAGACCGTGAAGGTGCACCGTCAGGAGGACGTGCTCGGACACCAAAGCATCGACCTCGGCGTTCCCAGACAAGAGATCACCGCGTGTGTTAAACAGCACAGAAAGAATCTCATGTACAGGAGGCTGGTGGGTTTTTCTAAAGGACCATTTTAATATGCAATGCTTAAAGGATTAAAAACATTAAAAATAACACTATGTCCATTTACAGGTGTTTTATTTTTTTCCAGTCAAATGACTAGTTTGCGGGAAGAGCCAACTTACTGAACATGCTCTAATTATAAATCACTGCATTAAGGACAACGAAAATAAGAATTGATTTAGGTTATACAATATATACAGTTGCGCTGCAACCAGATCAGAGCAATCAAGCGAATGAACGGAGTATCATTGTCTCAGGTAGCGTTCCGAGCTGCATGCCACACCATCCACCCCTCAGCAGACCACATGGGAGCTGGGAGTCTGTGCACGTGTGGGGCCTCATCCCTCGAAGTCGCGTCTGATGGAAAACGGCACACGACATGCCAGCGTCCCGCAGCTACGTTCGTGAAGCATCAACTTCAAATATAAATAGATATCTACAATGTTTTCCTTTCTCTCAGGTTGTTTTTTGATTTGCAAAGAGCAAAGAACTAGGAAAGGATGTTAGCAGGGAAGGTACTAGAATTTCTCCTCTGGCAAGAGTAATGTTAACGACTGCACAATAGCACCACCAAATTGCCGAGTGGAAAAAATATTTCCTAGATATTTCTGTACCAGTGAACCTGATAGATTAGTTTGGGACTGGTGTCTGAATGTCAGTGAGAATCAACTTTAATTCCTTATAAAGCTGGCACCAAGTAGTCAAAAGGCTGATTATAAGACACGAATGCAAAAGGACTGTGTTAAAATATACATAAGAAGTGCACTGTGCAAAATATACCTGTTTACTTTCTTAAATCTATGAGGGAATTAACCAAATGAAGGGTTCAAACGACAGAAATGAACAATTAGTGAAAATACATGTAGTGCTTTAAAAACAAAACCAAAAACCAAAAACCAAAAAAAAAAAAAAAAAAAAAAAA